GGGTAGGATCCCGATGTCACCTGATGTGGCCCCTTGCAGACCCTAACCTCCTCCGTTCCTGCATAGGCACCTGGATGTCTTTTGTCAAAGCCTGCCACCCACACCTGTGATGGGACAGCGAGCTTTTGAGTTATCGTCAACCTTATTTCCTGCTACAGCTCCTACGGAGTTAACAGATGTACACACGTCTGAGGCAGTCATGCGGCAAGAGACTTTGGGGCCAATCCTTCCCGTTTTGACAGTGTGTAATCGAGGTGAAGCCATAAATTTTATAAACAAGAATAAACGACCCTTAGCAACATATGTCTGCTCGACCCTTCCAAGGTGATCGTAAATAAAGGCACCTGCTCACTGGGGAGGGGCGTGGGCCGAAGGATTTGTGCCTTGGGAGCATCTGATGGGGGGCGGGGGAGGGCAGAGAGGTCCTCTGGCCACCCCCAAGTCCTGAGTCAGCTGGATGCCTTTCTGAGATTTAGTCAATCAGTTCTCTAGGCTGCCTTCACCCCCCGTGCCATCCTGAGCTGGTGCCTGCTTCTCACGCTTCCTCGGAGAGGTAGCTTGTCGCTGGGTCAGGAGATTCCTCCCAGGCTTATGGTACCCTCTTCTCCTCCCCTGCACCGCTTAATTACCAATCACGTCCTTATCGCCATCGCCGATGTCCCAAGATGGCCCCCCCCGTGGGAGTCTGAAGATAGGGTTCTTGTCCTGGCTCTGCTGCAGCCCACGAGGAGACGTTGAACAGCATGTGTCACCATGCAGAGGTAAGAACATGCTGGAGGTGGGCAGATCCAAGTTCAAATCCGAGTTTGGCCTCTTACTGTGCTACACCGGCCAAGGTGCCATCTCCCAGTGCCTCCGTGTCTGTGCCTGTATCTGAAACAGAGGTACTAATATCTACCTGATGGGGCTGCTGTGCTGTGGGAGTAAGTGCTAAGAGCACATGGAACTTGTTCTTGTATTGCTGTGGTAACAGTTTCAAAAGTTCTGCATGTAAGAACTCGATAAATGTCAGCTGTTTATTATGGTATCATTAGAACCATCACCACCACCCCAGCGGACACTGTGTGCTTCTGAGCAAGTGACTTCACCCCTCTGAACCTGTTTCCTCACCTGTGAAATGGGGAGAGTAACTGTACCTACCTCGTAGGATTCTGAGAACTAAGAAGACACATAAAAAACACCTGGCTTTGTGGTACAGTTGAGCATGGGGCTAAGTGATGAATAAATGCTAGTCGTGGGGTTTGGAGGCATAGAGCCCCGGTTTAAAGCCTAGCTCCACCTCCTAGAGCCCTGTGACCTTGAGAAAGTCGTTTCTCCCCTCTGGGCCTCAGTTCCCTCATCTGTAAGTTGGGGATGATAATAAGATTAATAGTACCACCTACATGGGCTGTTGGAAGAATTAAATGAACTACTGCATGTAAAGTGCTTAGCAAGTGCCTGGACATAAACAGTGCTCAATTTGTGGTCCTTATCAATATTTACTTACTAAATTCTCCTTTCTTGGCCTCAGTTCCTTCATCTGTAAAATGGGGCAATGATCACTGAGATCCCTTTCAGCTCTCATTGCTCTGTGACCCAGTCACCTCTCCCTTTCACCGTGGCGTGGTGTTCCTGGAATCATGTCCCCCAGTCTGACTGGGACCAGACCCTCTGGAGGTCACCTGTTCCCTTTGCCCTCAGCAAGTCTAAACGAACCAGAGGCACTGCTCCATGGGCCTCTGTGCTTCACATGAGCCTGAGCTATTTGAAAGTGCTTTGAAAAGGATAAAACGTGATTCAATAACAATAGCTTTTTTTTTTTTGAGCTGCCACCATGTGCCAGGCCCATGGACTTATTCCCTGAACTCTTGGAAGTTGGTATCATCCCTAGTTATAAAAGGTGCGGATTGGGCCGGCCGAGTGGCTCAGTTGGTTAAGAGGGTGAGCTCTGAGCAACAGGATCGCTGGTTCAATTCCCACATGGGCCAGTGACGCACCCAAACTGAGCTGCTGCTGAGCTGCTAACAGGTGGCAGGATGGCTCAGCTGGTGAGAGCACGTGCTCCTAACAACAAGGTTGTGGGTTCAACTCCCACATGGGATGGTGGCTACGCCCACCCGCAACTAAGAGTGAACACGGCACCTTGAGCTGAGCGGCCGCGAGCTGCCGATAGGCGGCTGGATGGCGACTAGACTTGGAGCTGAGCTAGCTGCGCCCTCCACAACTAAGATTGAAGGACAACATGTTGGCTGGTCCCTTCCCCAATTCCCCAACACTGTTCCCCTTTCCCAACTCCCTAATAAAATCTTAAAAAGAAAAAAAAAGAGGATTGAAGCTAAGACTGGTTAAATGACTTAAGGTGACTCAGCTAAGAAGTGGCCGAGCCAGAACTTGAATTCAAATCATCATCATCATCATCATCATCTATAATAATAGCAGCTCATATATGCCAGAGGAGTGCTAAATCCTTTTAAATATTGCCCCCTTAAACTCTCCCAGTGGCCCTTTCGGGTAGATATTATAGTAGTCCCCCTTTATTTGTGGTTTCGCCTTCTGTGGTTTCAGTTACCTTGGTCAACCACGGTCCAAAAATATTATATGGAAAATTCCAGGTATGGTTAATAAGTTTTAAACTGTGCACCATTCTGATGAAATCTTGTGCCATCTTGCTCTGCTCTACCTGGCACATGAAGCTTCCCTTTGTCCAGCATGTCCATGCTGTGTAAGCTCCCTGCCCGTTAGACACTTAGCAGCTGTCTCCGTTATGAGAGAGAGAGAGAGAGAGAGAGAGAGAGAGAGAGAGAGAGAGAATTCACATACCTTTTATTATAGTATATTGTTATAATTGTTTTATTAGATATTGTTTATTTCTTACCGTGCCTAATTTCTACACTAATCTTTATCATAGGTATGTATGTATAGGAAAAAACCAGTATATACAGAAGGTAAAAACTGTATTAAAATTGTAATACTCAATATATACTGATAACAAAAGATGAATACAAGTCACGTTAGACTTCCGCAATTACAAGAGGTGCTCAAAGTGGTTACCATCAGTGTAATTTTAATAGTTTTTTCCTTTCTTAAAATGTGTATACATTTTTTGTCTCTCTCTCTCTCTCTCTCCCTCTCTCTCTCTCTCTCTCTCTATATATATATATATGTCTCAGTACTATCCTTGGTTTCAGGCATCCCCTGGGGGTCCTGAAATATACACCCCATGGATAAGGAGGGACTATTATCATTCCCATTTTACAGATGAAGAAGCAAGTCTGAGAAAAATGGAATGACTTGCCCAGAATCTTGAAGCTAGGAAGGGACAGAGCTGGTCTTGAACCTGAGTCTGCCGGAGGCCACCACCCAAGTCGTGCATTTGACTGTTTAGCACCCTGCAGTCTTGCAAGCATCAAAGGTCATTCAACAGCCTCCCCGGCCAACCCCAAATGCTCCTTCTCACACTTCAAAGTTGGAGCTGTACACACCCACAAAGAGGCTGCTGGAGCAGGCAGCCTTGTCAGTCCAATTTGCTCCTGAAGAGGAGGCTGCACTGGTCATTTGAGAACACGGATCCTTACCGAGGGATTCCACAGGCTTCCTCAAATAGTGTGCAACCTGTGGACACGTATGTATGCGTGTGTCTATCTAGAGGGAGTGTAGCCTTTGTCATAAGTTTCTGATTCTGTGGAATGGGAGATACAAGCGACACCCCCAAAGTTCCCAGGTGTCCCCAACCTGCCTGTTCCCTGCCTCCTCGGCTCATGTATGTCTTCCACAAGGGGCTCCCAGTGAAGAGAAGCAACAGGCCAAGGTGAATGAAAACTGCAAAGGTGAATATAGTCCCCTCGATAAGGAAGACTGGACCATCTTGAGTCGTCCAGTATTGCTGGTGGGATTCCCAGCCCTGGTCTAAAGGCAGGGTGGGGGGGTGTGTGGCG